AGGTTTCCGGCGGTGACCAGGTTGACGGTTCACCGCCGGCGCCAGTTGGCCGACCCGGCCAGAAAAGGACAAAGTACCTCGTAGAGCTCTTCGGCATCGATGAGGTAGAGGAATTCCGGCGCGGGGTGGAGCTAGTTGCCCGACCCGACGAAAATAGACAATGTGGCACATTTGGGTCGGCTTTTCTAAGATTTAAAAGATATTTGACAATTCATTTTGAGAAACCAGATTTTTCTGACCTGTAGTGGGTTATGCCGCGTCTGCCAGTAAAATTCTAAGGTCCGCAGCTGCAGTATTACTATCGAAAGACTTGAGGGAACCGACGTTAGATAAAAACAGAAAAACATGATTTTCCGATTTTCTCGTTTCTCGCTCCAGAAACTTTCTTGATTAGTTCCGAGAAGCGCAGTGTGATTTCAGAGCTCTGCAAGGATCCTGGCGGTAACCTGGTTGACGGTTTACCGCCGGTTCCCAGTGATAACTTTTGGGTGGTTTTGCGAACAATTGAAGGACATTTGATAATTCATTTTGAGAAAGCAGATTATTCGCACCTGTAATGGGTTATGGCGCGTCCGCCAGTAAAATTTTCAGGCCCATAGGTGCAGTATTACTATTGAAACACTTGGAGGAACCGACGTTGGATAAAAACAGAAAAACGTGATTTTTCGAGTTTCTCAGACGCTTCCTTCATGCTTACCGAGGAGCGCTGTGTGAGAAAAGAGCTCTACGAGGGCCCTGGCGGTAACTTGGTTGACGGTTTACCGCCGGTTCCCGGTCGCTCTCCGGGTTTTGGACGCTACCAAGTGGACGCTATGAATCAACTGGCGGAGGATTGCGACATCAGGTGTGCCACTGTAGGGGCGGATCCGTGGAAGCATATCTACAGAGAGTTCAATTGTGTTGCGGATGAGTTGACTTGGGAGGCGAGGAGGGGAAGGACGGGAAGATGGATTGACTTCAGATATTTACGACAACAGAGACATTGTATCAAACGTATCCGTGGAGGATGGGACGGTGGCGTGAGTGTTGATGGCTCTGCTCTAGGTTGCTATGTGGAGGTCTCATTTGGGGACAACCACTGGCGACGAGTTTTCCAGGAGGCTTCTTTACTCCCTCTGGGGGCCACTGTTACAGATAGCGAGCTCACAGCTTGTGAACGCCTGCTCCAAGGTGTTCGGCAGATTATCTCTGAGATCCTCGGGCCTCCAACCCCAAAGAGGTTGAGAGGGCGTGAGGGACCCTAGGGACTCTGCACGGCTAGGGCGCACGCGCCCTGTGTAGCCCCCCCCAACCCAACCAAGTGGACGCTACCAAGTGGTCCACCCGGTCCGGGCCGAGAATGTGACAACTTTGGATCGGTAATTCGTAGAGCTCCCCAAAGAGCGTTAGCGGCGAAGCTAGAAGAGTAATACCTCGTAGAGCTCTTCGGCAAAGAGCTAAGAGGAATTCGGGCGCAGGTTGGAGCTAGTTGGCCAGCCCGACTGAAAGAGAGAATGTGGTAACCTGGGGTCGTGTTTTTTTTTTTTTTTTTTTTTTTTTTTTTTTTTTTTTTTTTTTTTTTTTTTTTTTTTTTTTTTTTTTTTTTTTTTTTTTTTTTTTTTTTTTTTTTTTTTTTTTTTTTTTTGTTTTTTTTTTGTTGTTTTTTATATATATATATACTGCGTGCGAAATTTTGACGTTCGTTTTCAGAAGTCATATTCTCATTTCTTGCAGTTTGTTACGGCGCATTTGCTGGTTCAATTTTATTGCTCCAGGTGCAGTAATACTAATAAAACACTTGGAGGAACCGACTTTCTATCAACATTTTAAAAATGTGTTTTTCTGCGTAATATGATAAGCTTTTTCGGTGAGCAGACAGCGAGAGAGGGAGCAGAGTGGGTATGCCGCGTCTGTCATTCGAATTCTTAGATGCTTAGTGCAGTATTACTATCACTGATTCGATGAAAACCGGAAAATTGTTTTTTTAAAGTTTTCTGGCTCTCGCTTCAGAAGCTTCCTTCATGTGTTCCGAGGAGCGCTGTGCAAGGAAAGAGCTCTACGGGATGCCCGCCTGGTTGACGGTTTACCGCCGGTTCCCATTCCGGTGCGCGGGGGCTGGCTGGCAAAAAAACCTCGACGGAAGTTTTCTGTTTTTTGGATATGTTCAATTCGTTAGAGCTCTAGTCTGTTTTTCACCCATAGTCGATATCATGTTTGCTCGCCGTCTCAATTCCAGGTCGATCGGGTATGTATTACTGCCAACAAGCACTCAGGAAGGATTAGCGTTTTTGTGTCATCGTGACAGGTGCTGCCAGTTTTCTGCACTTAGTGCGAACTTCAGGAGCGCTACAGAGCTGGTATGCACACCTAATCGATCCAGAATGACCAGACGCGTTCGTCTCAAGCATCCAGAGATCAGAACTTGGTCTGCTACTCGGGCTAGGTCCGCGAAACCGTATTCTTTTATTTTTTTGAGATGACGATGAGTTGCTTGACTTTACTCGAGCTGCAGATGCGCTACAGAGCTTTCTGGCACATGAGTCGGAAGGGAATCATGATGCGCGATAGTCTGGAGAATCTAGACTCCTTATCTGGGTCTGCTATGAGCGCTGGGGCTAAACAACTCAGCTATTTTTTTGGAGATGGTGATGGTTTTAACTCAACTCGAGCTGCAGTTGAGCTAGGGAGCCATTTAGCACAGCAGTCAGACAAGACTCATCAGACGCGCTAGTTGAACGTATCTAGATACCTGAACTCAGTCTGCTATCAGCGCTGGGGCTGAAACACTATTCGTATTCTGTTTTTTTTCGAGATGGTGTTGCTTTTCTTGACTTAACCCGAGTTGCAGATGCGCTACAGAGCTGTGAGGCACAACAATGGGAAGGACAATCATCAGGCGCTATAGTATGCAGTATCTAGACCTCATCTCGGTCTGCTAGCAGCGCTGGGGCTGAAACACTATTCTTGTTCTGCTTTTTTTAGATGATGATGCTTTTCTTGACTTAACTCGAACTGCCGATGAGCTACGGAGCTGTTCGGCACAGCAATGGGAAGGAAATAATCAGGCGCGCTCGTTGAAAGTATCTAGAGGCCTGAATTCAGTCTACTATCAGCGCTGGGGCCGAAACACTACTCTGTTAATTTTTTAGAGATGGTGATGAAGTGTCCATACGCCTGGACTCGGTCTGGTCTGTATATGATTTCTTTCCAGATGTGATTTTCCCTCGCTCCTTCCTCTCGTCCACGTTCTCCCCCATGAGACCGCGCCCTCGCAAAGCGAGATTGCCGCGCCCGCATTGCGCGAGGAAGCTCTACGAGCTCCCGGCGGTAACCAAGGTTGACGGTTTTCCGCCGGCTCCCAGTTTTGCAAAGATTTGAAAGATATTTGGCAATTCGTTTTGAGGAACGAGATTTTTGCGCTAAGTATTCGCGTATACGCTTCGTTGTCAGAGCAGCTCAGCTCTCTAGAGGAAGTTTCAGTATTCTGTCACTTCCAGGACCGACTTCACATGGACATCACGAAGATTGTGAGAGATTTTCAAATTCGTTTTGAGAACCAGTATTTTTCGCACCTGTGGTGGGTTATGCCGCGTCTGCCAGTAAAATTCCAGATCTCTAGCAGCAGCATTATTATCAAAACACTTGAAGGGTCCATCTTTAGATGAGAATCGCAAAACGTGCTTTTTCGAGTTTTTCAGCTCACGCTTGAGAAAGCTTCCTCCATCTGTTCTGAGCAGCGCCGTGCGATAAAGAGCTCTACGAGGCTCCCGGCGGTAACCTGGTTGACGGCTTACCGCCGGCTCCCAGTTCCGGCGCGCTGGGGGGGTAGTTGGCAAAAAATCTTGACGACAGTTCTGCTTACTTTTGCTCGGTTGAAATTGGATTCTTCGAAATTTGAACATTCGTTAGAGCTCTAGTTTTTTTCCCCATCTTTGATCTTATTTCCGCTCGCCATCTTAATATCAGGTCGGGCGGGTACCTATTACTGCCGAAAAGCACTGGGGCGGGATCGGCTGTTTTGTCGTCTTCGCAGGTGCTGTCGCTTTTCTGTACTTAACTCGAGGGATATGATAGCTACAGAGCTGGTACGCACCGCTAATCGATTCAGAATCATCAGGCGCGTTCTTCTCAAGCATCTAGAGGTCTGAACTCGATTTGTTACTCGAGGTAGATTCGCGAAACTATTCGTACTCTATAAGTGTTTTGGAGATTATGATGAGTTTATTGACGTAACTCGAGCTCCATCTGGCGCAGGAATCTGAAGGAAATAATCAGGAGCACTCGTCTGAAGTGTCTAGACGCCTGAATTCTGTCTGCTTTCATGGCTGGGCCCGAAAAACTAATCGTATTCTGCCATTTCTTAAGAGATGGAGATGGCTTTCTTGACTCAGCTCGTGCTGGAAATGAGCTACAGAGCCTTTCGGTACAACAATTGGAAGAACATGATCAGACGCGCTAGCTTAAAGTATCTAGACGCCGGAAGTTGTGCTATCAGCGCTGGAACTGAAGAACTATTCGTACTCTGCTTTTTTTTCGAGATTGTGATGCTTTTATTCACTTACCTGGAGCTGCAGACGAGCTACAGAACTCTTTGGCATTGCAATCAGAAGTGGATCATCAGTCGCGCTAGTCTGAAGTATCTAGACTGCTGAATTCGGTCTGCTATCAGAGCTGGGTTCGAAAACAAATAGTTGTAGCTAGTAACTTTTTAGAGATGGTATGGTTTCTTGACCTCACTCGAGCTGGAGATGAGCTGTCGAGTCATTCATTAGACGCGCTAGTTTGAAGTATCAGATGCCCAAACTCACGCTTCCAGAGTCGGAACCAAACACATATTCGTATTCTTTAAATTTTTGCAGAGATGATTTCTCCTCACTCCTTCTTCTCTTCCATGTTCTCCTCCATGAGACCGCGCCCTCGCGCGCGCGATGCGAGATTGCCGCGCCCGCATTGCATTAGGAAGCTCTGCGAGTTCCCGGCGGTAACCAAGGTCTCCCGCTCTCCCGCGGCCTTTGCCCGTCGGGGACTCCTCGAACCGCATCGTGCGGACAGGTTTTGTGCATGCACACGTAACGTGCATCTCTGAGTACCGAACGGGTGATCTGTCGGCATTGGATTGATTAGTTGTTCTTGCGTGCCCCTTCCTTGTGCGGCATCATGACAGCGCAATTTTGGTCGCTGGGTTCTGTTTCGACCAGTTGGAAAAGAAAAACAAGGATAATCAAACTGGCGATTTGTAGACAAGCTGTCTTTGATGTTATGCAGTTTAATGCTCGTGATCCATATTTTGTGGCTGATCCGAATACTGTCCCCGCGTTTGGCTGGTTGGATAACCTCGATGATTGCGCGCGAAACCCATGCCCGTTTCAGGGGAACTCGGAGGAGCAGGTCAATAAATTGTTGAGTTCCTTATCGGTGCCAACTGCTGGGCCAACTGATCGTGGAGAAGCTTTCTCGTCTCATTCGGTTGCGTATTCTCCAGATGTGGCGCAGTCTCCCGATGGTGGGCTGCAGTCGAGACTGGGCTCTGTTTCTTTTGATCCTGGTGTTCAGAATGAGGAGCATGATGAGGAGTTCGCGGCGGTAACGAAGACGGCGTCTGGTTACGGGGACTCGTGGGGCTTCTTCGTGCGGTTCGAACCGCATCGCGCGGAAGGTGCTTCAGTTGAACCAGGTGTTCGGAAAAAGGAGTTGCATGATGAGGAATTGCAGGGTGTTGGGTTGCAGAATGAGGAGTTGCTGAATGAGCAGTTGCATTATTCTCATCATACATATGATACGGCCTCACGCCCTGAAGTTTGCCACACTTCAGCTTCTGACGGAGACTCAGCTTGCCATGGAGAGGATTGGCAGGGGGATCTTAAGGATTTCAAGGGCGAGGAGGAGGATAATGTTCATGTTGAATCCGTGGAGAGTTCTACGGCAGTTGCTGCTGAAGAAGCGTCGCTTGCTTCTCAATCAAATGATGCTGTACTGCACTCAGTTCCTTTGAATTATTCTCTGCGCTCTGCTCCTTTGGATTATTCTCTGCACTCAGTTCCTTTGGATTATTCTCGAGTGCAAAGGGGGGGTGGAGGCCCCGAGGCGCTGCCGCTGGCATCCTCGAAAACCCACGGAGAGTGCGAAGTTGACCAGCGTAAAGATAACTGTGCTTCTCCTTCCCGGCTCTGTTCAGATGAGTTGCAGAGCAATCGATCTGAGTGTCAAGCTGCCAGGGACTGGGCCCGTGCCAATGACGATGCAGTTGCTCTTTGGCGGGAATTCGAACGGCTCCCGAAAGAGGAGTTTTGGGCTCGGATCGAGGCGCTCAAGGCATACAAACTTCGAATGGGAATTGAGAGTCCCGAGGAGGCGCCGAGTCCTGAGGAGGATGCTGGCCGTGGGAAAGGCCAGAGGCACCGCAGAAACAGGAGGCGGGCAAGGGCGAAGGCTCAGGCAGTTCTAACTGGCTCTTCTATGTCAAAGTCGGCCCATCCATCTACTTGCGATCCTCCCCAACCTCCGTCCTCTTTTCACGATTCAGTTTCTTCCGCTCTACCCGCCCCAAGTGTGCCCTTGTTGCCCGAAGGCGACAAGGAGGCGGAGGTGGATGAGTTGCATAACAATCAATCAGAGTGCGATGAGGACGCTGATTCGGATGCGGCCTTCCACGCATGGGATAAAATGGCCACCCAGCGAGTGAGGGTAAATTTCTATTTGAAGAAGGCTGCTCTGCACCGTTTGTGTGAGGCTTTGCACCGTGATGGGGGGGAGGACGCGGACATCCAGAGAACCTGTGGGCAGTGTCGGTTGGACAAGATAAGGATGCACCGTATTGCAGGGTGGTGCTTCGGACATTGGCGGTGCTTGACATTCTACTCAAGTGGTGCTCAACGGTTGATGGAACAACGCTTGCAGAGCCACATTAGGCACCTTCGGGTAACCTTTTGGCCTTAACTGTGACCTTATGCACCACAGACTTTATGCACCACAGACTCGTTCCCAATAGCGTTACGAAGCTATGTCCATACCTCTCTTATTGTATATGCGAGTACAACAAAACTAGACGGCCTCCGTGGATTCTTCGACGGAGGGCGCTCTGTGGAGGGATGTGCCTCCATTGACGGCTCTGTATGGCCGTGGAACACGTTTTGGGTAGCCTCTTTCATCCAAGCAGCTGACTCATTTCATATTTGCTTGGTTCCGTCTCTTCATTCAGTCAATATTCTTGCATCTTATTCCTATGCCTACGCCTCCGTGGCTCGGCAGTGTGAAGATAAGAGATGCTTCTTTCTTTCTTCCTGCATCCTTTTCCGATGCCTATGCCTCCGTGGCTCGGCAGTGTGATGATAAGAGATGCCTTCTCTTGCTACCCTGTGCTCCGTTTGGGAGTCTTAGGGCTCAGCTGTCACAGCTGTCCGCGCCCTGACTCAAACTCAAAAAACCAAGGTTGACGGTTTACCGCCGGCTCCCAGTTCCGGCGCGCGGGCATCGCTGCAGCTTTCTTTTTTTTTTAGTTTTTTTTTTTGAGTTTTTTTATTTTTTTTTACAAATTTTTTTTTTTTTTTTTATTTCTAGTTTTTTTTTAGTATGAATGTAGGTTGACGGTTTACAGTTCCGGTTAGTACCCCGTAGAGCTCTTCGTTATCGATGAGCTAGAGGAATTCCGGCGCAGGGTGGAGCTAGTTGGTCGAGCCGGCCAGAAAGGACAATGTGACGACTTTGGGTCGTTGTTTGCGTTTTTGCTAAGATTTGAACGATATTTTACAATTCATGTTGAGAAGCCAGATTTTTATTCCCAACATTGGAATCTTAACTTTGTTCTGAGAGCAGCTCAGCTCTCCCGTTTTACTATCAGTTGACTTCCAGGAACCGACCTCGTCTTAGCATAAAACATGCAAGAATACAGATTTTAAGAACATCTTTATTGTAGTTCTCTGCTTCGATTCTGAGCACTCTTACGCGTGCAAGGAGCTCTACGAGGTTCCCGGCGGTGACCAGGTTGACGGTTCACCGCCAGCGCCAGTTGGCCGACCCGGCCCGGGCGGACAATGTGTCAACCTGGACTCTGTTTTTGCGAGTAGTGTGAGCAATTTTGAATTTCGTTTTGAGAACTTGTATTTTTCGCGCACCTGTAGTGGGCTATGCCGCGTCTGCCGGCGAAATTCTCAGGTCCGTAGCTGCAGTATTGCTATCAAAACAATTGGGGGAAGCGACTTTGGATATAGACCGAAAAACGTGTTTTTCGAGTTTTTTTCAGCTTATGCTTCGGAAAGCTTCCTCCATGTGTTCTGAGCAGCGCCGCGCGAGAAAAGAGCTCTACGAGGCCCCCGGCGGTAACTTGCTTGACGGTTCACCGCCGGCTCATAGTTGGCCGACCCGGCCCGGGCGGACAATGTGATGACCTGACGTCGGTGTTTTCAAGATTGTGAGAGATTGGAAAGTTCGTTTTTGGAACCAGTATCTTTTGCACCTGTAGTGGGTTATGGCGCGTCTGCCTGTCAAAATCTGAGGTCTGTAGCTGCAGTATTACTACCAAAACACCTTAGGATAAAACCGAAAATGGTGTGTTGTCCAGTTTTCCAGCTCGAGCTTGAGAAAGCTTCCTCCATGTGTTCTGAGCAGCGCCGTGCGAGGACAGAGCTCTACGAGGCTCCCGGCGGTAACCTGGTTGACGGTTTACCGCCGGCTCCCAGTGCCTCGTAGAGCTCTTCGGCGAGATGAGCTAAGAGGAATTCGGGTGCAGTTTGGAGCTAGTGCCTCGTGGAGCTCCTCGGCATCGATGAGCTAGAGGAATTCCGGCGCGGGGTGGAGCTAGTTGGTCGACCCGACCAGAAGAGACAATGTGACAACTTTGGGTCTGGTTTGCTAAGACTTGAAAGATATTTGACAATTCATTTTGAGAGGCAGATTTTCCGCGCATGTGGAAGACTACGCGGGCCTCTGCGTCTTAATATGAGCTCCGTAGACGCACTTTTACTATCGAGACACTTGGCTGAACCGACCGCATATTGATATCAAAAAATGGAAGATTGAAGATTTTAAGAAAATCTTCTGCAAAGTTCTCTGCTCCGATTCTGAGCACTCTTACGCGTGCAAGGAGCTCTGCGAGGTTCCCGCGGTGACCAGGTTGACGGTTCACCGCTGGCGCCAGTGGTCGACCCGGCTCAGACGGGCAATGTGATGACTTGGGCTCGGTTTTGATTAGTTTTGAAAGATATTTGACAATTCATTTTGAGAGAGCAGATTTTTGCACTGAGCTTTAGCATGAGAGCTTCATTCTGAGAGCAGCTCAGCTCTCTAGGCGACGTTTTACTATAAGTTCACTTCGCGGAACCGACTTCATGCTGACATGAAAAATGCAAAATGGAAGATTTTAAGAAAATCTTCTGCGAAGCTCTCTGCTTCGATTCTGAGCACTCTTACGCGTGCAAGGAGCTCTACGAGGTTCCCGGCGGTGACCAGGTTGACGGTTCACCGCCGGCGCCAGTTCCGGGAGCGCTTCAGGCACGCGTGCACGCGTGCCTGCACGCGTGCAGGCACGCGTGGACGCGTGCCTGGCAGCGCTATCCGGGTCTTGGACGCTACCAAGTTGACCCACCCGGCCCCGCCGGACAATGTGGGAACTTTGGGCCGGTTGGGCGAATATTCTGAGAGATTTCAACATTCGTTTTGAGAATTGGTATTTTTCGCACCTGTATTGTTTTTTGCCGCGTGTGGCTATGGAATTCTCAGGTCCGTGGCTGCAATATTATTATCGAAACACGTGGCGGAACCGACTTTGGGTGAAAACTCAAAAACTTTTTTTTTTTTTTTTTTTTTTTTTTTTTTTTTTTTGATTGTTTTTTTTTGTTTGTTTCTTTGTCTTCTTCTTCTTCTAGTTTTTCAGCTTACGCGGAAGACAGCTTCCCCCGTGTTGCGAGCAGCGCCGTGCGAGGAAATAGCTCTACGAGGCTTCCGGCAGTTGACGTTTTACCGCTGGCTCCCAGTTCTCTTGCTTGGCTATCCGGGTTTTGGACAGCAGCAGGTGACTCCTAGAGCTTTCCTAAGAGGGTTAGCGGCGAAGCTAGAAGAGTAACTGGCGCCGGCGGTGAACCGTCAACCTGGTCACCGCCGGGAACCTCGTAGAGCTCCTTGCGCGCGTAAGAGTGCTTATCATCGAAGCAAAGAACTTCGCAGAACATTTTCGTGAAATCCTCAATTTTGTATTTTTCATGTCGACATGAAGTAACTCGTAGAGCTTCCTTTAGCTAGTTGCTGGAAGCTGAAGAGTAATACCTCGTAGAGCTTTTCGTTATCGATGAGCTAGAGGAATTCCGGCGCGGGATGGAGCTAGTTGGACGACCCGACCAGAAAGGACAATGTGGTGACTTGGGCTCGGTTTTTGCTAAGATTTGAAATATAATTAATAATTCATTTTGAGAAACCAGATTTTTCGCACCTGTGAAAGATTATGAGGGCCTGTGCGTCTTAATATCAGCTCCGTAGACGCACTTTTACTATCAAAGCACTTGGCGGAACCAACTTCATGTCGACATGAAAAATGCAAAATTGAAGATTTCACGAAAATCTTCTGCGAAGTTCTTTGCTTCGATTCTCCGCACTCTTACGCGCGGAAGGAGCTCTACGAGGTTCCCGGGCGACCAGGTTGACGGTTCACCGCCGGTGCCAGCTCCACAGCACTGGAGGGCTAGTTGGCAAGGAAAATCTCGACGGACCTTTTGCTGACTTTTGCTCGGTTGAAAATTCTGTCCTGGAAATTCAACAATTCGTTGGAGCTCTCATATTTTCCCGTGATAGTCGATCTTGTTCCCGCTCGCCGTCTTAATCTCAGGTCGATCGGGTAGCTACTACTGCCAAAAAGCATCCGGGCGGGATCAGCTGTTTGGAGTCATCTTGACAGGCGTTGTCGGTTTTCTGTATTTAACTCGAGATGTAGAAGAGCTACAGAGGTGGGGGTGATGAGGGGGGGCGCTTCGAACTTTGGCGCCCGAAAAGACACAGCACAGAGATGGGTTCGACGGCTACGGCAGTAATTTGTTGCGATGCCGATGTTTGCTTTCGCGACGTCGGCTCTCAGGGATCGCCGCCGCTGCCGTCGAGAGGCCGTCGCCGCCGCCGCCCCAAACCTCCGAGGATGTGATGTGATCCATCCGGGCGTTTGTGCTCGATCTCTAGGGGGCAACGTGGCTTGGCAGCGTGGGGGGGACGAGGGGGGCGCTTCCTCAAAGGGCAGCGTGGGGAGGCAACGTGGGGGGGATTGGGGGGGCAACGTGGTGGGCAACGTGGGGGGGCGCTGCCGCGAGGAAGGTGATGGCTAGAAGGCTATCGGGGGAAACGTGGGGGGGGATGACTAGGGGGGGCGGATATCATGGCGTGGGCCATGATATCTCCCCAGATTTCATGGCGCGTCTTCCTGTCTCATTACGTCCCCAGCCCCCCTTGGGCCGCACATATGACGCCGGCCATGATTTGCGCCCCCCCTCTTGGACGCCCCACTCTTGGCCGCTCCCGAAAGATGGGCTCCAGGTGCGCTTCCTCGAGGAAGTGGCTATCGGGGGCAACGTGGGGGGGGAGGGAGGCTCGGGGTTTTCGGGTTCGAGGTTCGAGGCTTTGATCCTATGCTTCAGTCGGTTCTCGGCGGCTTTCCGGCCTCGGGATGCTCTCCAGCAGCTGCGCTTCGCCCAGGACCTTCCAGAGGTGCCGAGATCGTCCCGAGCCGCCGCAGGAGCCCGAACTATGGCCTAAAACACATGAAGGACGGCGAAGGCTTCAGGGAGGGCGCGTCGAACCTCAATCGCCCAAAATGGGTTACAATGGAGCCCCAGAAAGTCCCAAAACGACTCCAACACTTCCCAAGGCTCCACGCCAGACAGGCGTATGCTACCCCGTCCACTCGATCCTCCACCACACTCATTGAGCAACTCGGAGTATATTAAAGCATTCATGTATGTATGTATGTCTGTATGCATGCATGCATGCATGCATGCATGCATACCTTTATATGTATATATAGGTACACTTATGCATGTATTTATGCATGCATACATGTATGTATGCATGTGTATGTATATATGTATGCATGCATGTATGTACGTATGCATGTATGTATGCATGTAGTCATGCATGCATGCATGTATATATGTATACATGTATGTATTTATGTATGTGTACACGTATGTATGTATGCATGTATGTATGTATGTATGCATGCACGTATGTATGTACGTATGTATTCATGTATGTATGTCTGTGTCTGTATGTATGTATACATGTATGTAGGTATGTATGTATGCATGCATGCATGTGTGTATGTATGTATGTATGCATGTATGTATGTATGTATGTATGTATGTATGTATGTATGTATGTATGTGTACGTGCATATCTATTATGTATGCATGTACGTATGTACGTACATGTATATGTATGCATCTATGCATGTATGCATGTATATATGTGTGTACATATGTATGTATGTATGTATGTATGTATGTTTGTATGTATGTATGAATGTATGTATTTATGCATGCATATCTGTATGTATGCATGCATGTATGTATGTATGTCTGTATTTTAACTAAGTGTTTATATATACATATATATATATATATATATATATATATATATGTATCCGTAATGGCTTCGGCCCATGCCGCCGGCCCCCTGTCTCGGATAATGGGAGATGCAAAAGCTAAAGCATGAGGTTGCGGTGCCACCTTGAGGCAGTGTTGGGACCTGCTTGTTTTTCGACCCT